CCTCATTAACAATGGTATCTAAGTGAAGATTGAAACAGAGTTTAGAATCAAAAATAACGCCTACATCCTTAACTGTTAGTATACGTTGCAAAGGGATATTGTCGATTGTATAACTGACAAGATAGGGTGTAATACGATTAAATGTCATAAGCATACACTTTGAACAATTTAGATGCAATTGATTGGCCGAACACCAAAGTTGCATAGCGTTCAAATCGTCGTGTAGACAAAAATGATGTAGGGGGTTAGTGTATGATAGAAAAAGTTTGACATCGTCCGCATACATGAGTACACGGGCATGTGATATAACAGAGGGAAGATCATTTATGAAAAGAATAAAGAGTAAAGGTCCAAGATGACTACCTTGAGGAACACCAGAAGTAACTTGAACCCTTTTAGAGGTAGTCAACCTCAGTATTACTCTTTGGGTCCTACCTTTTAAATAAGAATTTATCCAAAGTAAAAGGGACAGAGGGAAACCTCAAGCAGAATGGTTGGGTTGACCGATTCTTTACGAATCCATGTTGAACAGGGAAAACAACTGATTTGCAGAAATGCTGCAAATTCGAAGTGATTATTTTTTCAAATAATTTATGAATAGCGGACAGTTTTGCAATGCCCCTGTAATTTTGTATATCAGACTTCCCACCTTTCTTGTAAAGAGGAATGATGTAAGATTCTTTCCAAAGAGATGGAAAGACAGAAGTTTCAAGGGATAGATTAAACAGCTTTAGCAATGGATAAAAAAGGGAAGAACTACACTCCTTTAGTAAACAACTAAGAATATTGTCCGGCCCAGGAGATTAAGAAGATTTTGAAGAGTTTATCGCTAATAGGAGAGAGGAGTGTGAAATAAGGGGGGGCGGTATAGAACTAGCGGAAGAAATAGTATAAGGGTAAGAATTAGTATTAGGACAAACTGAAGAGTAAGTTGATTGGAAAAAATTAGCAAAGAGGTTAACAGAATCAGTGTCATTGCTAGCTTTATCCATCCCAAGAAAAAAAGAAGATGGCAAACTTGAAGATATACGCTTCAAGCTTACAACATTATAAAACTGTCTCGGATTTCGGGCAAATTGCCTTTTACAACGAATTAGAGAATTCTCATAGCATTGAGATTTAAGAAGAAAGAAGTTCGACTTGGCTATGGAATATTTAGCCAAGTCTGTACACGAACCAGACTTTTTAAACTTTTTAAAATATTTGGATTTTAGATTTTTTAGATGTGATAATCTGGGAGTAAACCAGGGTGGTTTTGAAAAAGTAGTCGAAGGAATTGACTTAGGAATACACACATCTAAGAGGGAGTATAGGGTGATATAAAAAAAATTAATGGCTGTATTCATATCAACTGAGTCATATAAGAAAGACCAATAAATAAGCTGATTCAGCAAAGAATAATTTCCTTTGCGAAAGCAATAGCGGGGCTTATTGGCTGATGAGCACGAAATGAAAGGATAACAATTTAGCATTGCAATCTCTAAAGTTGGATGAAAAACATCCTCATGAAGAGATAAAGGAGGGGACCTAGACACATTAGAAATAAGGTTGTCGTTAACAAATACAAGGTCAAGTGTTCTATTCATATGATTAAAAATTGAATTGATTTGAAACAACGAAAGCTCAAGCATGCAGTCTATAAAATCGTGCTGTGCTGAGGGCACTAGATAATTTTCAGCAGTGAATAATGACCAAGAGGTGTTCGGCAAATTCAAATCACCCAACACCATAAATAGGTCATTATCACGCACGTGTGAAGAAACTTCTTTAATACAAGTAATATGATTCATATAAACTTGAATATCAGAAGAAGGTGAGACATAAGAGCATGTTACATAGATATTCCGTGTAGGAAAAGACACCTTAACTGAGACAATCTCAGCGTCAGTAGGCGTACTAAAACAGAATAGTTCAGACTGAAGAGTGGCTTTAACGGCAATTAACACCCCACCACTTCGAGTCGGCCGATCATTTCTAAACAAAATAAAGTTATTCGGTAAAATCTCAAAATTAGATATGGTTGAGTTTAACCATGTTTCTGTAAATGCTATTATATCCGAATCGAAGGAAGTGCTGGCCATAAAAATATTTTTAAGCTTTGAAATGAGACCTCTGACATTCTGATAATGAAAAAAGATTTAATTTTAAGAATTGACCTCTCACAGAATTATACATTCTGGAGAAATCAATTTGTTTGCCAACGCAAGCCACCGCAGCCCTTCTTAGCAATAGCAGCGATCTTGTCGCAATCACGCCCAGTGAGACCTGCACATTTAGCATGCATCATATTCTCACACAGCCAGCAATTAACAAATTGCGGCAGTGCAGAATCGTCAGCCTGCTTGAACGTGCACGGTTTCTTACAGCACGACATAATTATTAAATGCGTATGCAAGTTGCGCAGAGCAATTATTATTATTATTATTTTTTGTTCGAATTATAAAGAACAAAGTACACAGGGAACACCGCGAGGAGGCCATTATAATTATAATGGGGTCATAACTAAATATGACCTTCGAGTCGACTTGAAATGTAATTGTATTTTTTAGCACTCTTTTATTTCTTAATTGGAAAATGAAAATAATATTAATTTAATTTAAAGAAATTATGTAAATACTTGTATCGACTTAGAAATACATATTTTCTGCGGAGCCAACTTCAGTACACAAAATGCATTCATATATCAACATAAATTTAGGATAGGTCATGATCTGCGCTAGAAAACTAACAAAATTAATTTCTTGCCAGCTTAAGCCAGAGCAGTGAATAACAACACATACATACATACTTTAAAGTTCTTATGCATGTATAATTCACGCATGCACCCAAAGGTGCACGCACGCTATTAGCTGAGACAAGAACTTTTCTCGAGCATACACTGTCAAAAAGAAAAGTGAAATCAATCTATGTGTGCTATTTTCTTAACATAGTTATTGCGCAAGAAGCGCCTTGTGTAAAAATTATAAAAGTTCTTAAATTTTCCTGTAAAATTATTTGTTAATATCTAGGGTAATATATCATTTAAATAAAGCATGCATTTCATGGATAAAGCACAAGCACTTTGCGTCGATCGTAAGTTCTAAACTTTTTCGCTCAATATACTTCGAAAACGAAGCGACGCAAAGCAGCATCGACCAGCTTTGCTGAAGGCAGGCTGGCGAGTAACTTCGTAGCTCGTGTCAGCATCAGCAAGCCGCGACTTCGGTATTCGTTCGTCTGGTCTTTGGAGTACGAACAACCAGTCGGCAGGCATGCCGTACGAAGCCTCAAAGGCCAGATGAAAAGCCAGGCTAGAAATTTTGGGTCGCATTCAAATGTATGGGCGTTACTCATCTTAGCGTTTATATTGTCTTTGGTATAAGGGTATACCCTTGTATTTGTGCAAAATCCAAATGTATGTAACAGACAGAAGGAAGCATCTCCGACCCCATAAAGTATATATATTTTTGATCCGCATCAATAGCCGAGTCGATCTAGCCATGTCCGTCTGTCCGTCTGTCCGTATGTATGAACGCAAGGATCACAGAACCTTTAAGAGCTAGAGACTTGAAATTTTAGATGTAGGTGCTAGTGACCTCGCGGATCGAGTTTGTTTCAGATAATCGATATCGATATCCTGTTTATTGGGCAATTATGGTAAATAATAACAGCTTGAGTCACGAAACATGATATGTTGCTTCTAGAATATTATATACATGTTAAGTATCTTTAATTTTATACCTACCGCCACCTCGCCGCTACCACCAAAGAGCTATAAATCTAGTTAATAACCAAACTTTTATTGCCAACCAATTTAAGCCACAATTTAAATGCAATTGACTTTTCAGAAAACACAAATATTCTATGGTACGTCGGCTCTGTGGCAGCGACGACGACGCATGCGAGCTTTGCTTATTAAAGCCAAAATTGATTTAATTTGTCCAAGTTTGGATATGAATAAAGCGAAGCGTACCGCTGCTGAAATCACTGTTCTTATTTAACTCAACTGCATTTATTCATGTAAATAATCAAAAACAAGAAAGAGGTTCTAGTCGGGAGCTCCCGACTAGGGGATACCCTGAGCCCTCTTCTTCCAAGATAAAATTCATATATATTATATTTTAGAAGCTATATGTCCAGTTTGGTGACTCTAGCTCTTATTATTTGCCAAAATTGCCGAAAAAACAGGATATCTATATCGATTTTTATCGATTACTTGGAAACGGAGTAAGTTATCGATTATTGGAAATAAACTCGATCTGCATAGGCACTAGGAGCACCTACATCTAAAATTTCAAGTCTATAGCTTTTATATGTTCGGAAATCCTTGCGTTCATACATACTGACGGACGGGTGGACAGACAGACGGACATGGCTAGACCGACTCGGCTATTGATGTTGATCAAGAATATATATACTTTATTGGGGTGCTTCCTTCTGCCTGTTACATACATTTGGATTTCGCACAAATACAATATACCCTTATACCCATTTTTAATGGGTTCAGGGTATATATATAAAACTGCATTTATAAAAGAACTAATTGGCGCATTGGGATAATTTTTTAATAATTAAATAACGAAAACGACAATTTTTAACCATCAAAAAACGCGAAAGTCAAAAATTCACGAAAAAACTCGAGAAACATTACGACTCTTCACGAAGAATACCGTTTGTCACTTCAGCGAGGGAGCTTATCGCAACTAGATTAACCATAGACCCAACAGAATCATGTAAGTGACTTGTGACGTGAACATAATCAGTTGGAATATAGTTTCAAGCCGATGCTAGTTCGCTGCATGAAACATATATAACCGAGTTTTTAGAAAAAAAATATAAACAAATTTTGTAACATGTATTAAGTATTATTGTATGGTTATATTTTTTAATTATAAGTGAATCCAATAGTTCTATAGTAATTGCATAAGCTATTTATTGCTTACGATATTTAGTATTAGTTCTAATGTTCTGCCACGGTTGTATTTTCCCGATAAAATAAGATACCGATAAGCAAGTGATCGACACTTTTATAACTTTTATAAAATATTCTCAAAGAAGTACCAATAAAAGCATATTGTGGCATCGCAATAACCTCAGAAGTGGAATAAGTAATCCAACAACGACCTACAATATTTATTCTTTCCATAGGACCGTCATAAAGCTGAAAAAAAAAAGCCACAAACGCCATTTTCTTGGAGTTGTCTGATGCAATTCAAGGCACAAGAGGAAAAAACTGACATCGTTGCACTACTGAATCGCAATTATATTAGTTTCCCTGCTTATGCAACAAAAAGACAATTAACAATGATTGCTGCGAACAACAATATTGATTTGGATCAATTTGAGGCCTGTACATCAAAAAAGGAAAAATGTTGTAAGTAGACACTAACAGAAGAAGATGAATTGGATGCAGCCATTAGAATAGCTAAGAAGAAAAAGATGTTGGCGGAATTAACAGAAAACTTAAATAATTCGGATAACAATTCTAGAAACGACGCTAGAGATATTCTGTGCAGCATAGTTCCGTTTGCTAAAGCGGAGACGAACGATGCGCATAAGTGGATTCAGGATTTCGTTGTGTTCGTTTGTTGATGAAGCTTGATTCAGAAGAAGATTTGTTTATACGGGTTGATCAGTCGGCAACCTATGCCGATCTTAAATTCAATTTTTTTAGGACATTTAGTGGCAGAAATCATCTCATTTTTGAAGTCAACAGTGAAGTCTGGCCGCCCAAGCACTATCCACTGTTAGTGGCAGACACGAGTTACGCTGCTACAATTGTTCAGGTTTCGGACACTAGGCTTCTTCATGTACTGAGCCCATACATGCAAAGGGCTCATGCTCCAGTTGTGGATCACTTTAGCACATGATAAAAGACTGCAAGTAGCAAGAAGTAAAAGCTTTGAAACTTGAGAGTGTAGCCAGCAACCCACAGATAAGCGATGACGAGCATCTAGTTGTACCGATAATAAATAAGGTAGGAGTATATTCATGAACTGAAAAATCGCATAAGTCTAACTTAAAAACTCTTTCTGCCATATTTGACACCAGATGTTCCATTAACCTTATTCGACGCTCTACTTTGCCCAGTGAGAATAGTACTACAAAAACCTTATACCCAAGTGAATATTGTGGTATTAATGGATCTCAATTATTAACATTTGGGAAAATTTATCTTTACGTGAAGTTTGATAAAATTACAGAAATTTCATTGTTTCACGTTGTCCCAGATAACTACTTATAAACAGATGTGCTATTGGGAAGAACATTTTTAGAAACATAAAATATTAAATTAGCTTTTGTTCGAAAGATTGAAAAAAAAAACAATACAAAATGAAGCAAACAAAACAAAATTACCTAATTGTCGTTGTATATTTTGCAAAGCATTGCCAAGTGTTGTGATTGCATCTAACTTTAGTGAAAACAAATTGAATAGTGCCAGTGATCTTTCCGATTTAAATAAAATTAGTGAGAACAGATTGAATAGTGACAGTTATCCCTCTGAATTATTAAGAATTAGTAAAAAGAGATTAAATACTGAAAGGGACGCTGTATAATTAGTAAAAATAGATAACTTTAATGAGGTCAACGATGATCTGTTAAAAATAGAAAATATTAACCAAGTGAATCTCCCGTTACATCTGCAATAGTTCTTGTAAAGAAAAAGACCGGTGAAAAGCGAATGAACATAGATTATAGGCAGCTTAATAAATTAACTATAAGAGATGGATATCCTCTTCCATATATTAATGATATTTGGAGAGAATGGAAGGCAAACGATACTTTTCACTTTTGGACCTGAAATCTGGATTTCATCAGGTTAAATGGCTAAAAATTCGATACAGTATACCGCTTTTGTTACACCGAGTGGCCAGTACGAATATGTCAAGATGCCATTTGGACTTCAGGATGCACCAGCAGTGTTTCAAAGATTTATATATCCATTAGTTCGTGAAGGGAATGTTATTGTATATATAGATGATATTGCTATAGGAACAGAAACAATTGAAGAACATTTAGTAACGCTCAGTAGCGTACATAGGCGGTTAACAGAATATAGGTTTGAAATAAAATTAAGTAAATGTTTATTTTGCTTTACGTGTATTGAATTTTTAGGCTACTCAGTAAACAAACATGGAATAAGCCCTAATATGGAACCCATTACTGCAATTAGGCACCTCCCAATTCCGAAAAATTCTATTGAAGTGCAGAAATGTTTAGGTTTATTTTTTTATTTTAGACGCTTTATACCTAGCTATTCGCGGATAGTAAGGCCACTAAATGAATTAGTCAAACTATATGCCAAATATGAAATGAATCAGAAATGTCGTGCTATTTTGAATTTTTATGGGAAAGACTAGTTTCTGCCCCAATATTATCCCTGTACAGCCCAAATAAGGAAACAGAATTACATTGCGATGCGAGTGCTGAAGGATTTGGAGCAGTATTACTTCAGAAGCAGTCTGACAAGTTTTATCCAATAACATACTTTTTGCAAACCACAACAGCAGCTGAAAAGAAATATCATAGTTTTAAACTTGAAACTCTAGCTATTATTTATTCTTTGAACAAGTTTATGATTTATTTAGAAGAAATTCCGTTTAAGATAATCACAAACTGTAACTCATTGACATTAACCTTGAATCGTAAGAGTGCTAATGCTAAAATTGCTAGATGGGCTTTACAGCTCGAAAATTATAATTACACTATAGAACATCGTAGTGGCAAATATATGACACATGTTGATGCTTTAAGCAGATATACTTTATTAAGTGAAGAGTTAAAATATGAACCGCAAGTAGCAATAGCAGAGGATAAACATAAAAATCAAGTAGTTGCAGTAATAAATATTGATGATATTCACCTTCAGATTCAAATAAAATAGTGGAATTAAAAGATAAATTAGAAAATGGTCCTATTGATCAGTTCACATCAGATTATGGAAATATTTATAGGCGATTAGAAAATAATATAGAATTATTGTATGTTCCAGAAGAAGTGGAAACTAATTTAATTAGAACAGTACATGAAAAGCTGTGTCATCTCGGAATAGAAAAGTGTGTAAATGAAACATTATTGGTTCCCAAAGTTGAATCTTTTATACAAAATTGCTTAGTGTATAATGTTCACTACCCCCCTCGCATTAAAATAATAGAACATTGCACAGTTTACCCAAACACCCAGTACCATTTACCTTATTGCACATAGATCAACCGAACCTTAAAATCCAAGTTAGCAAAAATAAACGAGCCAACTTAACATTCTGATTGGAGTAAGTTATTGAGAAAAGCTGAATATGCTATAAATAATTCTATTCATTCTGGAACAGGAAATATACCGTCAGTCTTATTGTTCGGATTTCAGCAGAGAGGCAGAGAAACATTGAACTGAATATTTAAATAAAAACCATAACTTGATAGTCCTGATTCAATAAATATTCGCAAGAAGGCTTCCGACAAAGAAGAAAATGCTCAACGCAAATTGAGAAAAATCATAAAAATCATATAAAATTCTCTGCAGGAGATTTTGTAGTCATGAGAAACATTGATATCACCAGTGGCACAAACAAGAAATTTATTGCTAAATACAAAGGTCACGTTGTCTTAAAAAGGAGCTCCCAAAGGACCGATACGTTTTAGAATATATTGAAAATTGTCAAATTACGTAATTACCATATGAGGGCATTGTAGAGGCCGTCTTAGAAAATGGGCAGATTGGCGTGATCAGTGCAAAAATTACTGTAGTTCTAATTTTACGCAAGCATTTAAATCTATCTATAACCTTTGCCCTTGTAATATTCGAATATTTAAGGTACAAGAAACCAAAAAAAACAAGTAAGATATTCTAGTCAGGAGATCCCGACAAGAGGATACCCTGAACCCTCTTCTTCCAACATCAAATGCATATATATATTCTATTTTAGAAGCTATATGTCAAGTTTGGGGTCTCTAGCTCTTATTATTTACCAAAATTTCCCAAAAAACAGGATATCGATATCGATTTTTATCGATTGCTTGGAAAATGGAGTAAGTTTTCGATTATTGGAAACAAACTCGATCTGCGCACGCACTAGGATTTCAAGTCTATAGCTCTTATATGTTCTGAGATCCTTGCGTTCATACATACGGACGGACGGACGGACAGACAGACGGACATGGCTGTCGACTCCGACCTGTATTTTGAAAAAAAGCGTGATGTAACCCCTTGCCATTTTGTCGATTTGGGTCAAAATTTTCGATTTCCTTTTTTGATGCCAATCGTTAGAACTAATCCTTACAAGTCAAATATTGTATTAAATTCCAAAATCGGACATTATTTGACGGAAATATTCCACAAAATCGTCAAAAAGGTTGAATTTACGAACGAATCGGTTTTTTGTCAACAAAATTTTTCAACCCATCGATGATTTATTTGTTTAAATGCCAATTGATGGTAGGGATCTGTACGTATTTAAAAGGGTATAACATTAAAATCGGACATTATTTATCCGAGATATTAAAATATAAATCATCGAAAAAGTTTCGATTTTCGCACCGACCTCGATTTTGAAAAAAACCCCTTGCCATTTTGTCGATTTGGGTCAAAATTTTGGATTTCATTGTTTTTGATGCCAATCGATACAACTGATCCTTACGAGTCAAAAATGGTATAAAATTTAAAAAAAACGTGATGCCATTTTGTCGATTTGGGTCAACATTTTGGGTTTCCTTTTTTTGATGCCAATCTATACAACTAAACCTTACAAGTCAAAAATGGTATTGTTGAGTTACTAATGGTTTTTAGCAACTGTTTAGAACCTAAACCAAGAAATAAGTAAATTTTGGCCTTTCACAACACGTTATACTTAGCTCAGTTTATTAGGCAAATTTATGTAGATTATAAGGTTATTTGGCTGTGGCTAAGAATTGGTTCTTCGCTTCGCCTCGATCAATGGGGGATGAATTTCCACTCGATGTCATCGGCGAGGCAGAACTGCCGAACTGCTAACATAGCACTTGATGGATGGCCTCGTACGAACTTCCGACTTATAGAAGAAGGGTCCGCAATAATCGACTCCAGTTACGGTGAAGGGTTGAACGACTTCCAGACGTTTTCTTGGAATACTTGCCATCATAGGCTCGACAAAAATGGGCCTCGCTCTGAAGCACCTCACACATTTACTGACTGCTTTAGAGACTGTTCTTAATTCACCAATCGACCAAATTAAGTCGAATTTTGGCTAGAAGTGCACGGGGACCAGGGTGTAGATTCCTCTCATGAAACTGAACGATGACAGCTAAGGACAGCGCGCACGGACTGAAATGATGCTGATTTGGTCCCATATGTTACTGTATCTAATTTAAAGATTTCGATATCCTTCTGAGGCGACTCCCTCCACAGGATGCACTGGAAGTAACGTATCAGGCGAAGTTACTCGGACACGACGATACATTTTGCAAATATCAGTTGTGAGAGCAACAGGATATGTGCGGAAGCGAATCAGAATGTGAAACAACTTAGGTTGAATGATTGGTCCCGCCATCAGTAAATCATTAAGAGAATATCCAGAATCAGTAGTTGCTGAGCCATCAAACACAACACGCAACTTGGTTGTGGTGCTGTCTTCTTTCAAGACGCAATGATGTGGGAGGAAGTATTTACAACAGCCACTCAACTCTGGACTAACTCGCGACATGTGATTTGGATTCAGAAACTCCTTGATGAATGCCGAATACTGCTCCTTCAGATGCGAATTCCGACCCAATTTTCGCTCAAGACTGAGAAATCGAAGATGAGCCTGGCCATAAGACTCTCCTAGAAGCTCTGCGCTCCGCTTCAGAGGCAACCGCACTGAAAACTCGCCGGATGGTAAACGGTAGAAGTTATTGGCAAAATGCTCCTCGCATTCCGCCTCTTCTTTGGTGGCCTTTACTGTAGGCTCTTCCAAGCTTTCAATTTCCCAAAGCCGCCCAACCAACTCATCCAGACGGACGTCCAACTGACTAGCTTTTCTATTAGGAGTGCGGCCGGCAGCCAACAACGAGGTACGTAGTACCTACGAGTACCAACGAGAAGAGGTAGTCCTGGCCAACGAGAAGAGGTAGTCCTGGCAAAAGCACAATTTGCCCAACAGACAAAAGCTCATAGAAAAGGCTCGCTCCAATTAAGAGAACCACTCGCTGTGGTTTGTTGAACGCAGGATCGGCCAACTCTTATGTTCGAGGGAATTTTCCAGTCTGATTTTCCTTAACTAAAGTCTCTGTGCGAAACGGGATGTGACCATGTGCAAATGCGAGCCTGAGTCTAATAAGG